GGTCCAAGCCACATTGATACATATTGGTTTTAAAATTTTAGTCCCGCTGAAATTTAATGGATTTTTGCCTGTGTATGACACACTATAGGTAGTAAGGCAATAATATGACTCTTTGATTTTTCGATAAGAAATATTGGTTTTGAGATCCAAGGAATAATAAATTAGGTATGCGACTCTATACATGATTATAGTGATTATACAATATGTTAGCTCTGTAAAAAAAAAAAAAATAATGTGATATACATTATTTTTTTGTATCGATCTAAATATTTAACTTTTAGAATATTACATTTTGTCGTACTTAAAATTGTCCATTTTATTTTTTGTAAGAAAAGTGAGCTATTTATACTTATTTCCACTGGAAAATGGAAACCTGTCTAAAATATAAGCTTGGTGGTTAATGGCGAATATTTCTTACCACAGAAGACTTAATGCTTCATAGTCAGTGGTTGTAGTCTGGATTATGTAATAGCAAGAGTTCACTATGGTGTAATTTCTGACACGTGTTTTTTATAGTAGTTTTGTTGATAACACATAGAAAAAAATTACTTTAGAGTTTAGACTTTAGTGTTTGGGACAATCAGATAATTTTATGTTACAAAATAACATATAAGCATGTTAAAAAGAGTGGCAAAATAATAAAACAACTGGTGAAACTTCTGGAAAATTGGTTATAATTTTTTTGTTTTTGAAATCACAAAGTTTGTCATGTTAAAAATTAATGTATTTGTAAGTTCTTGCTTACTTTTTGTATCCAAATATAATTTCCATTCATTTTTTATTCGGGTAATATGTGTAGCATATAGGGCATCGAAACTTTAAATACGACTTTGTTTAGGTACTAAAGATGCCTAGTTCACACCTCTAAGACAAGATAAACGAAACTTAAAAAAATTGTCAATTTTGGTTTATGATGCAGACTACTTTCCAGTAGGTATAGTAAAATATTAGATTAATATAATGCAAGAACGCCACTATAAATACCCATCGTTTTTCATTTTGCCACTCAATCGATGTGCCAGTATTGAATTATTCAATTTTTAGCTAATTTTCAAAGCAATATAAGTTTACTTAATTACACTATGAYGATGGCAGTATATATATTTACATTTACAGTTTTAAYGTARGTATCTATCCAATTAATCATTGAAGTTACAATTTAAGATTGCCTTGGTGCTTTATTTCATGTAGCATTTTAGCTTAAAATAGTAGCAGTTTTTATATGAAATACGTCAGTMTTGTATTTAGAAATATAGACGTTTAACTGCCACGTCTTTAAATGTGACAGTTTACCATTCACTTTAAACATTGTAAAAGTTYATAACTTTTGAGCTTAAAATTAAGAGAGTAAGTATTCGAATAAGTCATARTATAAAATAGGTTTTTAAGTATTTAAGTTTTTAGTTCTAGCTGCAAAGGTAAAGAACTCTTTAACATAGGTATTCATGTTTTAAATTTTAAATCACTTTTTATCAAATCAACACACAACAAGAGTTGTGGTTCTAGAGGTGCGATATTCGTGTCATCACCTGAGACTATAATGATTACATTTAATAATTTATGATTCACAACCGAGAAAATGCCACTGCATCCTCGTCTGTCGTCATAAACCTTGTTATCTATCTCCAAATAGGTTATACCCATAGGCCATAAGTACTCACGCCGCGCGATCGATAGTTCTATCATAATATTTACCGACCAAATGTGTGTTTTTTCCGCAGATAAACATCAAAGAGATGCTAGCCATCGTCATGGTGTCCGTGGTGCTCACCGTGGCCGTCGAAATGCCATTCAACAACATCAAAACGTCGTTCGTGAAGAAGTCATCCAGGGCAGAGACGGAAGCTCCTACCCCCGTGCCAAGCGTAGGAGGCGATACAGAGTCACGACGWAACCGATGATAGATTTCTTWAWACACGTGTGCCCGAGGGCTCAAATATTATATAATTAATCATTAATTTCYGTCATCTCGATCATCGATCACATCGTTCATCCCACACGCACACCATTTCCATTTAGCGTTTAGGTTTTAAATCGGTTCACTCTCGCTCTATTTGGCCGCCACTGTAATGAAAAACATAACATTCGCTCAGGTGTTTGAGAGACTACGCATTAACAGATTTTATTTTCATACATTTTCTTTCGTACACTCCTATACTCATATAAGCAGTCGGCGCACTTACAAATCGATTCACAAATTTGAAAATTGTTTCAACGTATTAGACTGAATTTACGCACAATTCAATCGACTTGCTCTGCGCTGTCGTAGTAAATTTTAGTTTATAAAGCATACAAAAAATTAAGCTCAATTATTATTWTTTTTTCTAATTATTGTACTTGCCATTACAACAAACCGGGGTACTACTTATAGGTTAWATTACGTGTACATACGATTCAGTATTGAATTAGTTATTTATCATTATTATTATTATTATCATCATCAACATAATAAATAATTAATGAACTCATAACAATGAAGTTCTAAATGCATATTTATTTGTCATCTAAATTTTGGATGTTATAAAAATAAAACCATTATATATTAAACCTATTGATTTATCATGTATTGTATATTATTTTATTATATTATATTTGTAGTTTTTTACAATAAACATGATAAATTAAACATATTATATATACTGTTAAAAAATGTATGGTCTTTACTTTTATTTGTTTTATTTTTYCAATCACTTGATAAAATGTTTGATTTTTTATTATTATCTACTTTACAGTGCCTCCTACATGTCATATTTGTATGCAAAGGTAATATACTATATAATTTAAGACATTTATCATACAATTATATTA